GTTAGGTTTACTACTCCGTCCATGTGCCAATCTGGTGTGGGGGTCAATTTGGGATTCGTCTAGTCCTTGTACGCTCTTCCTCGGCTACTTCTAAAATATATGTATTTTGCTCAGTGTGATGCCTTCTTCTACCTAGCGAAAGTCTTAGAGTGCTACACTACGATTCAAAATTAGGGCTTAGCTTTGCAATCAGATAAAATGTGGTGTGGGGAAATAATGCAGAAACAAATATTGGCGGACCATGGATGGCTATGATTCAGCATCTATAATAGGAAGGTGTTTAAAAAAATTGCGGCATTTATTAGAAACAGTGACCAATTTTGTGTTTAATTTTTGTGATGCTTATTGCAACAGTAATATTATAATATATATTATTGAAGTAAAAATTGATACTTTGGTCGTTGAAAACTAGTTAAGCAGCCTAACCATCTACGCTTGAGAATTCGTTTATCGCATTGAAGCGTAAGTCCGACAAGTGTACAACATATGAAAATGGAAATCATGACCTTGAACATAGACGATTGAGACACGATAATGGATGATGAACTTGGTACTGAGGTTGAAATTTCCATAGCATGCAGGTACGCTGAAAATAATCATAGGTTAACTTTTTAAAAGGAACCTTGCTGATACCGACGTTCTTTCAAAGTCAGACCCAGGTAAATTTTGTTAAGCAGTTTTCACCATCGTAGTTGTGGTTGTTTTCGAATTTTGTCCGGCTCTTGAAGATTGGAGAGAGATTTGGAGGTCTGAAACCATACAGAATAATTTAAATCCAAACTTTTCAAGGAAGTTGGTGCTGCAGTATCACTTTGAGGAGCAAAAGAAGTTAAAATTTGCTGTGTAAGTTACACTGAATCTGATTGATGGTTTTAGGTACGATGTAGACGATCCAAACGAACCTCTGCGTCACCAGGTACTGTCAAAATAGGTATAATTTTTAAAGGATTTTTTGGGTTCCTGTGATGCAACTCTTGGAGAAATCGTCTCAGTTGGAGAACTGGAGAGAAGTTTGCAGTAAGAGAAACGCTTTAAATTTCCATGTTTATAGTGGTGGACCATCTGGCAATAAAGGAACGTTAATACGTACGATTCATCTTTATATTAATTACATTATTCATAGTCATTGCTGAGGAAACAGTCATATGCAACGTACGATTTATTTCGTCAATGCATTTCCTTAGGATGAAATCACCTTTAACATAAGTGCCAAAAATCTGGACAAGAAGGACATTATTGGACTTTCAGATCCTTTTCTTGCTTTTTATCGGCTGCATGAAAATGGAAGGTATGTCGCTTGAATGGGTGCTCGTTGGTTGTATTTTAAACCTATCCCTAAATAGCAAGGTATATGAGATTTTCTTTTCCTAAATTGTAAAAATTGTTCACCGGTCTACTCCTAGCCAACAAACTAGTTGCGTTTTTGACTAACTTTCTGATTTGTATTTCAGTGTCACCGTTGCCCATCGAACGGAAGTTATTAAAAACACTTTGAATCCTTCCTGGAGTACCATGATATTGCCAGTTCGACTTCTTTGTAACGGGGACCTCAATCGGTATGTTCTGCATTTCTCGCTCAAATTCCTCCATTCGCTTCTTCGTCTTTTTTCTTAACCCCTATTTTAAACCCAGAGGAAATTCTCTTTTGTTGAGCAAATATTTCGACATTTTTTGGTGGAAATCTTTGGCTTTGTCAATCGACAGAATTTACTCTTTCGCAGTACGGACTTGCTTCCATTTATGAAATTTCACATGGACTTGAGTCATTTGTGGATTTACTCTGAGATTAGAACTAAAAGACGTTTTTTTAATTTGACCAAGTTCGAGAGACTATTTATTTCTTCGAAGAACTGAGTGTTTTGCGTTGTTAAGATTTACATTTTAATATGGCTTATTGACAGGACAGTCCATCTCCATCTCATTCTAATGCTCGAAAATATTAAACCACCTTTCGAAACATGAAAAGCCAATCGGTTGCATTTAACAATATAATGCTCACACTTAAATGGCTCTTGGTGATGCTCCGCTATGTTAGCCAATTTTACCCTTCACTATGGGAGTGCATGTGCATGCGTTAAGGTCATTGCGTCGTCTTAGCTGTCGGTCTGTTGGCCACCGGTAGGCTGTTTTCGCTCCCCTCTTTGGTAAAATACACAGACACATAAGGGAAGACAACCACCTATGCTGCAATAAAAAGGGAGGGTGGGAGGTTACGTGGTGAACCAACAGCGCCATATCTGTTTGTTAGTCTCGGGTTTAGTCATCACCGTGTGTGTATGTGTGCTTTTCTAATCGGTAAAGAAGTCTACAATTCGGGTCGGCTCCCATCTTGCAGTGGCATATACAACCAGTGAAAATGGTTTTGCTGCAGTTGTCAAAATCATGCTCTCAAGGAAGTTCACAATATGCCGTATTACAAATTTTCAATGAAACATACTCGAAGAGTAGTAAGAGGAATTATAATGCGAACTAAACAGTTTTGGGACATAGGCGAGTAAGATTAGTGGCGGTTTTTAGATAGTCAACAGTTTTCGAGTCACCCAATGGGGAGAACAAATTCAAATTATTTAATGAGAGGATGTGTTGCAGAAGAACCTACCGTCAGAATAAAACAAAGTCTAAACACTTCGGCTTAAGTGCTTAAATGTAAAGGTTGTTGCTTTGTGGATTTTCACTACCTTTATGCACAAATTTATAAACAGCTGTCCCTTATTCCCAATTACGTGATGGACACGTAGTGGGCGAAAGCAAAATTATCTCTGCAAGGACAGAGTAGATTGTAATTTGGTTCTTTAAGAGGACTATTTTAAACAGGACAAACGATCAATTAAAATATAATTTATCTGCAGCTATTTTTAACTCGACCTCTATGTTTCCCTGCCTCGCATTAGGGAAATGTTGCCTTGTCCCAAACTTTTTAGGAGTTATAGTTCCTTCGAAATTCACACCCACACACCGACTTCAGGGACTGGTAAATGATCATCTATTTCGGTTAACATGTAGCAAAACCGAGAACGGCAGATTGTATCTGATGTGAGGTTTGTATCACACGTGCGTAAACTCGTATTCAGTGCTCAAAATATTGTGCTGTTTACGCTAATCTCTTGTGTTTGTCACGTTAATTAGTCGGGTTTCGTTGTCTAAATCGGGTGCGAATTGTGCTCAAACCTTTTCCTCTCTCTTTCTCACTCCCTTTATTTTCATTTCCACAACTTCGCACTCAAGGGTCCTAGAATGTATTGGGAGACTGATGATCTTCTTGGTGCGATCTTGACAGAGAGCATTGTTCCAAAACCTTTTCTGCAAATTTTGTGGCAATGTGCTACCGTATGGCCAGGCATAATTACCCTAACGAATCCAACTCTAGGATTGGGTTAGAATGGGCTTATTACTTCCCCAATGTTCCGTTACTTGTGCTTGAAGTTCCAGCAAGGGAACTGGCCAACGATTACCAACATCGGTCTTTTGGATTAAGTCTATTTTGAAACAGTTAGTACATCTCCACTCCTCCCCCTCCTTCACCTCTCTCTCTTCCACTTTCTAAGGGAGATAGTAAAGATCCTAACTTATTTTTTACCTTCCTGTAGCGGTTTGTGAGTTCTTTCTTAACCTTACAAAGACAGAGTAGTTGGCGGGCTGTTTAAAACAATCCATTTTTCCACATTCTGAGGAGCAAGCCCGTCCTACGTTAACCGGAAGCGGTGGTTCCAATTTTTATCTACAATAGCGTCTCTACGCTACTGGAGGCGGAACGGGAATTCACAAGTCCGTTTTGTGGGGTTGTTTTGGTTAACTTATTGTTATTTTGATACAGCTCCTTAGTGATTAATCAAAAGTTGGAATAAACGACCCAATTAGTCCTCTGTTCCAGTACGAAGATAGCTCTGCTACTAAGGTCTATCCATTCATTCCCAACTTTTCAAACTTATCTGCATTAAGGGAAGATTTTCCTAATCCTTAACAGTTGTAACTTGGGAGAATTGCTTTCGTCTTACCAGAGCTATTTATGGTACTGATGCACCATATTTATCTTGCCTATTGCAAACAACAGACAGCCTTCTTCTACCGATCCTACTCCTCATCTTTCCCATCCTTTTGGAGATATTCCCTGGGTAGACGCGACTGCTTACGTGCGGTTAAGTTTCAACAGGTTCATATTTTAAAGGGTGAGCCAGACTACGAAAAACGCTGTGGCGGTTTTAGGCGCGTACCTTGACGATTTGTCTACTCTTCTTACTGGGTGAACAAATTATTAGTTTTTTGCAGAAAATCATATGAAAGGTTTGTGTAAAGTGATGACCATTAAACTTGTACTTGTTTGAGGAGTGCAGCAGAACCATCTTCGTATTTGAAAAGCAATGCACACAAATGAATTTTTGACACAATACCTGTATCAAGTTACTTTTCTACACCATATGACTCTCTCATACACTGTAGATCAACCTCAATAAAACGGTTCACTTTTAAGGTGGCGAAAAGGAGGGATAGTGCCGATGTGTGGAATTCACGCTCAACCACTTTGATTCGCACTGTCAGGGTGTGCGTTGGGAGGGAAGTAGGGTGAGAAGAGTAGGGAGTCGGTCTGTCTTAAAAGCTCAAATAAATTATTGTTCTTTCCTTCTTACTCTAAGTGCGGCTAATGCTGTGAATGAATCAAGGTGTGTTTTTATGCTTATTGAAATGTATGCTGCTGCCTTCCTTGCTTCTTGTGTGACTCACGATGGTGCTGAGATCACAAAAAAATATATTTTACTAAATAAATGCTTTCTGCAGGAAACACGGAAGTTGGTGGTCTATCCTTAAACGGTGCTGTTTATGATGCCCGCCTTACTGATTCTCTCACGTGAATAGCTGACATGCAGAGATTTGTGTTTTTCGGAAAAGTGGTGGTATTTTCACCCCTCAACCCATCAACGCAACCGTCTTTGTTCAGTTGACCTGAAACTCGTTAAAGGCCCTACCGATTTGGGTAGTCGGCTGAACAGCTTGCGAATAGTAGACGGGAGAGTGTACCTACGGAATACACAGAGTCATGCCCAGCCACGGAGCGAGAATTGAACAAAAAATGATGTGGATGGGAGATTTTATCGTATGTCGGGCGAATTTTCAGCTTTAGTGCTCTAGTTAACACTCAAACGTCGTATGTACGAGCCGCTACTCGAAAAAGCGCTGCCTTGGGAACGCACTTTTTGTGCAATGTTGACTAAGGTGCTTGCAGAGGTTGAGCCAATTATTTTTGCAGAAACTGAATGTAACTTATTTTACGTTCTGCAATTCAAGTTTTGCTAAGGCAAAAGCCATGAGAGTCTCTCATTAAAAGCTTCGAATTTCCGTCACTCTATCTCGTTTCATTTTCGCCCAGACTCAACACGCACTACCACTTCTTTCGCGCCCTTACTAGGAATCAGTATTTACCTTAAAATACTACCTTTCACTTTCAAACCTTAAACAGGACTACATAAATGGTAATGTTAAACATTAGAAGCCCAAAGATGGGCTTCTAAATTCCGACCACTAACTGTTGTGTTTATTTAGGCAGCTTCACTTACTGAAATGCATTTGAATGGGGGCGTAACAATTCGAAAATCAGAGGCGAAAACGTCTAAAACATCATCTTCTCGACAGTGCAATTTCCAAATCCACTTGCAATGGCCTTTGTGTTTTGGAGGCATGAAGTCAAAATGACCGGCAATTTCAATATGTTCATTTCGCCCCAGCCAGTTGACATGGAACATCGCAGTCATTTT